CGAAATAAAAGCTTTCAGTTATTCTGTAGTAACCCACGACGGCTTTGCAAGACGCGCTGCTTTGATAATTCGGTGACCCCCTCCTTCTTTAATACTCGAGTCTTTACGCTATTGTATTCTCCTCCGTTGGACCATACTGTCTGTACCAGGAAGCTACGTGTTGTACCAGCGAATGGATTCCCAGCAAACTTGAACAAACCAACAAGATTGGGCTAGTCGCCCGAGACGATCCACATTTCCGCCTTGCCTTCGGCACATCGTTGTTATGTTACTTGATCTTCACCCGCTACGCTAGCGGATGGCTCAAAGCCGGGCAGCGGGTCTCGGGCAACAAATCGGCGCGGGCATGCGGGCGTGGTGTTTACAGACTTTATGGCAGTCTCTACGCTTCCTCGATTGGTGTAGGCGGTTGGTATACCTTTAGGTTGTGTTCCGAGCATCTTGAGACGAAAAGGTTCAGTGAAAGGTGCTGGTCGGTTATTTGACTCGTCACACTTAGATTGATACCGACTGCACAACATCTACAGTGACAGAGTTTGCACTTGCCGTGGAAATTCATTGGGGAGCCCCTCTCTTGAGTCAGATGCAAGCCGAGCCGACGAACCTTGAAGTCGGGGCTGCTTGTAACTTATGAGGCTCGGCAAATTTAGACTTGATGTGAGCCCGACCAGCTGGGAAAAGGTTCCCACGGGGTGGGGTTTGATTTTCGCGGGCCACGTACATCTCCCGTTACAGAAAACTCAAAGACACCAATCGACATCCGAAGCCACCAATCCATCATGAAATATGCTGAGAGTTCGCTGTGCCAAGAACCTCTAGACCGTTAAACCTCTGTGCGTAAGTTCCCAGCCTCCCATTTCTAGATAATGACCCGGCGATCGGGAATGACGCGTGAATTACGGACAACAATCCAACGCCTTATATCCCACGTCACACACACAGCCGGTTTATAACCAGTAGGCAGGGCTGGTACTTTCGAACCTTCTGATCGGTATCTCGCCGAAACCTAGATCGGAACTGCTTAGCTTCTGTAGGTGAGACGTCTAGGATTTCATATGATTTATTGGGGTTGACGGCAATCTGACCGAAAGGCCTATAAGATCCAGCTCAATTACTGCCATAGACTGTTGTGGTGTAAACGTCTTGTTTTCCCACGCGACAAATTTCGCTGGCACAGCCCCCCTCCCCCCAACATGTCAATATCATCCAAGGCCAAATTTGTCGAGCGTGGGTGGACGCACACCAAGCCAACAGCTACAAACTTCCAAGATTACGAATCCCTTCAGTTTCATTTGTCGATGTTGAGGAAATGCGACACATGTTCAAAAAAGTTTGACCGTCCGAGATCCACAATGCAAGAACCGAGCACTCTGACAAAGATGTCGCGGCGTACTTCGCCGCTTGCCTTGAGGAGCGTTTTGGCACTAATATCGTCTGTATTATGTCCAGCTAGCCATCCTGGAGCCGACGAGTTAGAGTGGCAGTGCCGTAAGTAGAAATAATAAGCGATCGAGTGAGCATTTAATTACTTAAAGTCTGCTTTGTAGCGTCCCTTTAGCTTTACGTTTCCGCTTGCATCTGACGAGCAGTATATGAGTGGTGATCTGCTGATGTGAGATCTTTCATGAGGCAAAGTGACTTAGCTTCAGCCTTCCCTCCCATCTTATGCCTATGCATGTATCTTGCTACCACCTCAGTGAGTCTACACGGGACACCTCTTTTGTCTATGTTATCAAGATACCCCATCGCGAAATTCAAGCAAGTCACATGTGGCAACCAATCACGCTCTGTATTGTCAATAATACTTATTAAGACATGGATATATTCTATGGCGGCAAGTTCGTCAGGGTCGCTATCAAGGGGAGTAGTGGGGTAAACATGAGCTCTTCGCACATGCATTGGAACATAAGCTCCTCTAGGATCTTACTCGACCCCACGACATGTGCATACATTAACTTCCGGACTGTGGCTCGTAGGTTCTTCTTCTCCAGGCTCAGAAGTCACACTGCCCTGAGTTTTGTCTTTTACGTTAGTGAGGTCTGCTCCGCAAAATGATGAATCTCAAGATGTGTCTCTGAACAATCGCGGAAACTAAATTCGTAACGCAACATTCTATTGCGGCACTAGTCAAACAGCAGCATCGAATCAGACTTGGGCCACTTAAGCTTCAAGAAATGCATAACAGCATCGCTTATGCACTCAAGCCTAAATATTGAACCTCAGAGTGTATATCTGACATCCCAGTCTCATACATTAAGTTATGCTCCTTCGGAGTCGTAGCCGAGAATCCATTAAGGGACCGAAGCTTGTCGCGGACTTGGCGGAAACTGTTCGAAGCGGATCGACCGGTGAAGGCTGATGACAGACTCAAGCTCGTTTTCGGAAATAGGCAGCGTTGAACCCCTCTTCTTTTGCCTCTGATTTGATTCTGTAACCTGGTAGCTTTGGAATAGAAGGAACCGCGCAAACATCAAGCCAGCCACAGCCCAGAACATGTAAATTCAATAGTGGCATTGCATGAAGGTTGCGTGCCCGATAGCACCTTTCGCGGCTACGTTCTCATGTAGCGCAATACTAACGGGAAGGCTTTGAAATGCATCATCTCTGGAAAGGTAAAAATATGTAGCTTTTGTCGATCACGAAGCTTACTTCATGTCGATCTTCCACGCCTCAACCTTCAGTCGTTCCAGAGTCCAGGCAGACTACAAGCCTCAGCTACACATAATCATACCATCAGCAAGTAAAACAAAGTTTTCCATTGGCGGCTGAGCGATTAGAAGTAGACAGGATGTATCTCCTATTGGACAAGACTTCAGCTGGCCTCAATCATATTGATGATGTTAGGAAAGCGTAATTAAGACTTTCTGCGTTCAAGGCTTTTCTGATGTTGAAAACACACCTAAAGTTAATTAAGTTAGGTGACAATACTTCTGTTCTTGTAGATTTCTGAGTAACATAGTGGTTAACGGTTGAATGGGCTCCAGCGCCTTGATGTATTCATTCTCGCAATCTGATAACTCTTATTTATCACGGCAGCAGCGATTAAACAGTCAAAATGATTCGGTTGTCTAGTTCATTAGGTTTTTTGATTCCAAAATCAGGAAGATTTGAGTTGTATAAGATTGAACACATTCATAAAAGTATCGGTGGCTTGTAAGACCACTGTGTCAATGTTTGATATCTCTGACTTTGAAACGATAATGCTCCCCGCGATCCAAGTATACAACCCTGTCGTTTTTACCCTCTGCATCAACCTCCTTTTTGAAGTCTTCCAACGGCGACAAGAACACATCGTAGTCATCGTAATGAATGGGGATCGTGACATCGGGATCAACCAGCTTAATAAGCTGCATTCCCTGCTTGGCATCCATGGTAACCATCAACAAGGGAACGGAAGGGCCTGGGATCGTGGTTCCCCCGAGATGAACCAGCATCAAGTCGACCCGCTCATTATTGAGCCACTCGGGAATTTTCTTGAGTTCGTCGACCATCAAAGTATCGCCAGATATGTATATGCGGTAGCCAGTCTCAAGTACCGCAGAGTCGGCTTGTGGGCCAACACTGGGATAGTACCCCAACTCCAACATCCAGCCATTCGTCGGAGGTACAGCTTTCAAGACATCGTTGGCAGCGGATAAAGGGCCGGGCGGGACATGCTTTCCCGGCATGCCGGTGACTTTGATAACTGCGTGCTTGCCTTGTGATTCTGATGGATGGCGTGCAATGTCAAGCCGAAGGTCCTGGAAGAAGTCGAGATCCACCACCTTTGTGAACGGCTCGGTTTTGTCGGGAGAAGTTAGACAGCTTTTAGCGTGCGGCGTCGTGATGATGGGAAAACTGCGATTCAACGAGTCTTCCACCTTGCGGTCGAAATGATCCTCGTGATAGTGTGAGAGGAGTATGGCGTCCAGCGGCGGGAGCTCTTCGAGGTCGATGGCTGGGTTGGTCCTGCGTTCAGCGGTGACGCCAGGTCCCAGATGAACGTGGTCCCCAGCGTGGAGAAAGTTCGGATCTGTTAGGACGCGGATACCATGCCATTCTAGAATTGTCGTCGCAGTGCCAACAAACGATATGCTCGCATCTTCGCCTCCGGTAGATATACCGCGGGGGTGTATGTGTTGTTTGCCGAGCGGAAGGCTCGCGGGCGCTTTTGTCTGGATTCCCTCTCGGAGAAGCCCTTCTCTGCGGGCTGGATTCAATGTGAGATGCTTCAAAGCAGGCATATTGGGCTCGTGGACTGTCAAAGTAGTGTTCTGGCAACGCTTACAAAGTTGAAGTGGGCGGAATAGCTATGTGGGTTTGACTGATCACTACATAAGAGCCCGGGAACTCGGGGAATCAACGGAGTCACCATGACGTACGCAATGAGCTGCAATGATGCAATCATCAGCAGCGAATGCGCGCGGAATACGCCGTTACCATCGGCAAACTCACATTAGTTCCGTGGCACAACTCATTGCGGTTACGTCGTAGGTTGTAGTTGTTCAAACTTCACACGCTGTTCAGGATTGCTATTTGAACTTGCAAGATATTGTCGAGCATGCGACACGAAGCGAAACACGCCGCATTCCCGTCATGACTGACGTCTTCGTCGAATATAATTATTCGCTGTCTTATATGTTTAACACCTTCACCTCATGCCTGGTCAATGTCAGTTAGGATTAACTAGAACATCTCAATGCTCTTCGATTATTTCTTAAGTAACTCTAGAGTACTGTACCCACTGAACATAGCACAACATTATCACCCTAGAAATTATTATAAGTGCACCCTATAATAGTATCAGTACAACACACTAGGGTATAATAACAGACTCTTACTTAAAGGTACACAATAGCTTATAAGTTATAAGCATTACAAGAGAGCAATTAGCTAGATTACTGTATAGTACTAATAAAAAGGAAAGACTCAATTAAGCATTGTTATAGGAGAAGGCCTACTGTGTAAGCAGAGCCTAAAGTAACTGCATGTATATAGCGAAGTCACCTCGCGTAAAAATAGGGCCCAACCGTGATTCGAACACGGGGCCTCGCCCAGTCACGCTGAGCGTGAGGATTGTCCTTTAAACCCGAAGGGCGAATCATACCACTAGACCATTGGGCCGGAGGCGGAGCTCCATAGTCGAGAACCGATGGTTGCTGGGGGCGGTGAGAATTGGGAATTATCGTACGTGCCAGCAACCGCGTGAGGAACCATCTTGATTATCTGGCCATGAGAACTTGAAGACTCGGACCCCTCCCCCTTCGTTGCGTCCCGCAGGGCCGGGAGATTTGCTGTCTGAAACTCGCTCCCAAAGCTTGGCCACAGAGTCCACAAACATGACCCAGCGAAGCAGGGTATACCGCAAGAGCCTTGGTGCCCGCCCACATTAGTCATGTCCACACAGGAAGCGGCCAATATCCCAAGGAACACATCACATCACAACCATGAAAATGCGGAGGTACACATGCCTCCTTAAATCCTCCGTCTTAAGGGGCGCTGCCAATTCCCAACTGGTAGCCAAAGTCGTTTCGTTCGAGTTTTGAGATGAGTCGGGCGGTCCAGCCTCATTTCGGCAGCGAAGCCCCCCGAGACCTGGTGGTCTTTACCCAGCGTTTCCACGTGACCGAGATAGACTATGGACCAAGCGTACTGCTTGGTGCCAGAGTGTTTGGTCTTGTAGTTGGACCGATGGCAAGCTCTCAATGATACGCAGCATTCCTGTCGGTGGTCCCTTTAAGCCTCGGGACGCTGCTTCTTTGTCGCGATGGCACATGTAAGTTGTCGGCACGAGAAACGAACACCAGCGCTCAAAGAACATAGTCAGTGAGCAGGTTTTCAGTAACACAGCCATCGTAGGCCGGGGCGGCTATGGCCTGAACGCTGGCCGATTTGCACGACGGTCTGAGCGATCCGGTGTGGCAAGGTCGTAAAATTACACGCCTGATCTGCTGTGTATGACTAAGTAGGCAGCACCGGATGCCCTCGAACGGCGTGCTGTGTTGGAAGCTTGGAACGATCCGGGGTAGAGGGGAGGATTGTGGTACGCTGTCGTCGACACAACGGGCCTGGTGTGCGAAACCGACGCGTCGCACATTGTCAGGTTGCGCGTAGTTGGCGTAGTTGGCATTACTCGGGACGCCGAGTCTTCTTCTCCGGTCCATCCCCGTACTGCCACGTTGGAACCCCGTGGACTCCCACCGGCATAAAGAAGCAGGCCCAGAATTCGCCATGGGCCGTGAGCAGGCGGGGGCAACTTGCCCACATAATCTGCCAGGAATCCCGAGAGCGAGGTCGAAGGATATCCCAGTCTTGGGGGGCGTCAGACATTTCCAACCTTCTCCCTCACCCCAAGAACAAGACGCGCGCGACGCGCAATCTGTAGGCCGGCGGCTTTATCAACGATTCAGCTTTAACTAATAACCCGGCAATGTCCTGTAGTGGAGAGCGATAGCCCTATGAACCGCCGCCTCAGGGGTCGGCAGAGCTTCAGCCACCGCAGGTGAGACACGGTTATCAATCCCTCCTGTTCGTGAATATGCTGATCATCTGTCCTGCAAGGGGGGAGTGATGCGTAGATCACGTCAGGGCTTCCCGGACAGGCATTGGTCTCGGCAAGAGCGACTCGCTGAACCAGTGCGGGATTGCGGCATGCCATCGTCGACCAGGTACGCCCGCCTTTCCAGATGATTGTAATGCGACTCTACTATGTAGAACCACGATTCTTGTAGATCATTGCCGCTCACGGATGCCGGGCGCCGAGAAAGTCCGGCGACAGGGGTTTTTTATTCTTGGAGCATGGGTCATGACTAGTAGTATTCGACACCATCAATCACCTCGCATATCTCTGCGTTTCAGTCGTCTGAAGATTTTAGTTCAGCAAACACACGGTATAGCGCTGGACCATGCGGTCCTGGCTTTCCGTTCGGTGCTGCCGAGTTGATGGTATATCCAGCAGATTCTCCCAGCAACTCTTGGGCTTTGATCATGATACTAATACAACTTGACAGAAGCGTTCCAGTTGCATCTTGGAAAGCGTATGGAGTTGCTGAGGCGGGGTTAAAGTTGCAAAAGGTGGGAAACTGCACATCGTAAGCCCCTTCGAACAACAAGGGAGTTGACGGGTGGGTTTCGTCGTCCCCTCTCCCCCCCCCTCCCCCCCGTGGCTGGGTTACCCGGCACCTTTACAGGGTGTCGACATATTTCATATTGCAACGTCTCCCGGGATGTTGGATGGACAAGACCTTTCAAATAGGACGCTCTGCCTTCAGAACCATAGGGTTGCATGAACTCTCTTTGGCCGTCTGCCCGTCATGCCTCGACACAACAGCTTTCTAGATCGTAACGTTTTGTGATGTTGTTGCCTTCGACGCCCTGGGTGGCAATCCCGTGCCTGCTGGCCAGCGTCCTTTGCCCGCCCGTCCTCGCAGTCGAGACTTGTTCTAATTCTGCGCAACCATTAATATTACCCATCAGAGTAAGTTGTTCGTAGGAGTCCTCCGGTCTCTTGTCGCTCGTCGTACTACTGTTGCGCTTTACTGACTTTCGTGCGTCTACCTCTTCAGAACGTAACATTCCCGAATGGCATCGGTGCCAATCGCGGCCTCAAGCTCACGCTTGGCGGCCAATTACAAGGCATGCGCATGTCCACCATATTGAACAACACGCGCGTGAGAAATAGTCTGGACTGCCCGAACAACAACACTTTTGCGTTTATCGGTTGCCAGGGGTCTTCTGGTAGCGTGTACGACACGACAAGAGGCTCCTTTTCCCAGGTTGTCAATATTGATGACTGGAATGTGACGTACGGCACTGATACATTCCCGGCCATGTCCCGCGTCAGCTAACAGTTCCAACAGAACCGTCGATCAACAGCCCGATGATGGCGATACGACAGTGCTGCATGGCTACGATGTCGCAAACTTCACCGACGGCCCGGCTGTGGCCTTCGGCTACCCCTTCGAAGTTTGGGCCGACTACGACGCCATGAACAAGAGCGCCGTGGCATTCGGGCCCAACTCTTCAACCCTTGAGAGCTTCATAAGAAACGAGGTTGCGCCCACCAGAAGCTTTGGCCTGGACTACGGCTCCACCTCTGAGCTATACCCCCGCGACGGTCAGCTCATCGTCGGTGGCTATAACGAGGCTCGGTTCAACGCCTCTCACGTTTCCAACTTCCGCATGTGGGGAGCCAACGCTCCGGTTGCCTGCCCGCTGCAAGTCACCATTGCCGACATCATCCTGACCAACAAGAACGGCGACCACCCCCTTACCGATCCCGGTGTCAGGATAGCGGCGTGTATCGACACCGTCCACAACAGCTTCACGTTCACGCCCGCCATTTTCAACAGATTCCAGCAGATCGGCAACAACACCGGCAGCGGCAACGTCACCGGGTTCAGCGAAGAAGCCTTCGACGAGTCCAACTTCGCAACGGACCGCGAGCCTTTGATTGGAACCCTGACGATCAGGTTGACCAATGGCTACACGACCGTGATCCCACACCACGAGCTCGTCAACCACGTCCGTGGCACCGACTCACGTGGCAAATACTCCGTGCTGAACAATACCCGGCTCAGCACCACCATCTCGTCCGGGATCAGCGACCTGGGCGAGAACGTCCCCGTTCTCGGCGGCGTGTTTCTCTCGCAGAACTATCTCCATGTCGACTATGATGCGGCGGCCTTCTGGCTCAGCCCACAGGTTGCCAACGGAACCTTGCCTGACCGCATCACGGCCGCGTGCAACGGCACTTCAACAGCCGGTGCCTCCACTTCGGAATTCGTCCTCCAAGTCGGCGTGCCGGTGGGGGTCGGTGCGGGGGTCGTCTTTGTCGTCGGGTTGCTGATCTGGACGAGGCACCGCAAGCGCAAACCCCAGACGCCCGGGTCCATCCCCCGCAACGAGAAGCGCGACGCTCCCGATTCCATGTCTTCCACCACCATGCTTGCGAATTTCGGCTACTCGAACGGCGCAACGGCGTCTTCCACCACCAGGTTGGCGGCTCCCAACTACCCGGGCCAAGCAGTCGCCTCTCCCCCAACCAGGTCCGCGGGTTTCGACCACGCCGGCCAAGTAAACAGTTCCCTTCCCACCAGGTTCGAGGGCTACGACAATGTCCACCACGCAAACCCTGGCGCGCACATGGAGCTCGAAGGCGATCCTGGTCTACCTGCCTCGCAGCGGGCGGAGTTGGCAGAGCCTATGCCACCATTCAGGTCTGAGTGGCCTCGGCAGAACTCCATACAAGGGGAGAACGAGAGTTACTACAGACAGTTCGAAGAGCCGGGTGTCGAGAGCTACGAGCTCGCAGACACTTCGTATTCTAGGCTCGCTCCGCTGGCGAGTCCGCTGCCCGAGCAGCGTGAAGACGCCGTCCTAAACGAGAACTGGACCTTGGGCTCTGCGTCTTCGCAGAGACACGCGTCAGCCTTCAGCGATGTCGTATCCCCAACAAGCGAAGGGACGAACAGCACAAACATCCATCCACATATATCTCCTGTTTAGCGTGTTTTTTAGTAGATGAGTAATGATAATCAATGGGCCAAGAATATGACGATTCCAGCCTTTTTAATTTTGCATAACAAGTTCTTGGTTGGGCCGTTGTTGATAAAAGTGCGTCCATGATGCACAGTAGACTGCGTGTGTTGTTTTCTTGTCAGTCTGATTCATGAGGCTACTTGACGCCAAGATGAATCTTTCAATCGCAAATTTTCATGTGCCAATCAGCTTCTGCACAATGATAGACACAATGACTTAATAATAACCGGACGGATTAGTGCCTCCATGACCATACCAGGCTCCCAAAAATGTAATGGTGCCCAGGCTGGCACCGACAAGAAAGAGAACACATCTGCTCTCTATCGAGCGTCCCACGAGCATGGCAAGCGTCGTGGAGAGTATGGGAACGAGCAGCCACCACCCGAAAGAGTTGTCGATCGAGGCAAGTCCCGCGCAGGGTCCCAGCATGCCCAGCATGGCGACTAGCCACCATTTTTCGTCCTTGCAATATACCCGCGCCCCTCGCCAGAGGCCGTACGTTTCCGGCGCGTCTGCTCTTTCCAGCTCGATCCTCCCACCTCCGAGGCGCTTCTTGATCTCGTCGCGGAGCTGGTCGTGGGAGA